ATCTCTGCTCGGTAATAGGTAGGGTAGTACTTCTCGCGGATTAGCTCCTTGAGCATCTCCCATGTACATCCCGCCTTCTCGCTGGGACGCATGCTCCAGTAAGCGTTCCACCAGAGCCGAGCATCACCGGTGAGCTGAAGCTGAGCGCAGATTACGCGATATCTATCAGGACAATCTATGACCTCGAAGATAAACTCAAGGCCCTGAATCCATTCGTCTACGATGCGGGGATCTCCCTGCCCTGAGAATTTTTCAACATGATAGTCGCGGAACTGTGCGACTACTGTGGCCTGAGTAGGACCCGGGTGATCGGGTTCCCTACGGGGCGGCATCTGAACATTGAGAAAGTTCAACATTATTGAACACGTGATAATATTCTGACTGATTACTAACGCACACAAATCTCTTGACGAGTTGCCAAAAATGGCCGATAAATACTGACCTGAATCCTGAGGAACTCTAGAGTCATATCGGAAGATACTAAATTCTAGAGTCATCTCTGAATATACTGAACTCTAAAGTCTGATCCTGATTCGAGCATCTTAACTAAGTCCTGATCCATAATTTCTGAGCATAGGCAAAGTAATATGTTTATAACTGAAAACATAAATCAACACTTACCTGTAGTCGGCGAGGCGTGAGAGTGACGGTTCAGGTTTTTCTGAAAATTACTGACTAATTGTAACGCCCCGCCTTATCGTGAAATCAGAGTGCGAAAATTTCGCAAAGTTATTTAAAAAATAAAATCTTTTACTTTGCGAAAACTGATTCGGGGTGCTACCGTAAGACGTGACTTATTTTGGAAAACTGTATTTTAATTTTTAACAAAATCATACGGTTTACTGAAAGCATAATTTTTTTCCGAAAATCTGATCAAAAGATAAGTTCGTCAAAATCAAAGTCAGCAGAAACGTAATATCGTCAATATATATACAATCATAACTTAAAATTCCTGAAGCATCCGTCATCTCACGCCCTCGGCCCGACATCCTGACCTGAAAAAAAAAATGATAAAAGTGGGTCGTGAGCACTATAACACTGTGCTCCGTGGAAACTCATAC